GCGGTGTGCGGCGTCCACCTGGAGGTGATCGTGGAGAAGCCGCTGCAGGTTTTCCACGTGGAGGTGGAGGTGAAGGACATTAACGACAACGCGCCAGTGTTTCCAGCGACACAAAGGAATCTGTTTATCGCGGAATCCAGGCTGCTTGACTCTCATTTTTCGCTAGAGGGCGCGTCCGATGCAGACATTGGAGTCAACGCTCTGCTCACTTACAGACTGAGCCCCAATGAATATTTTTCACTAGAAAAACCATCCGATGACGTCCGAGTAAAACGTCTTGGACTTGTATTAAGAAAACTTCTAGACAGGGAAGAAGTCCCAGAGCTGTTTTTAGTGCTTACGGCTACTGATGCGGGTAAACCTGAGCTGACTGGAACCGTTCAGTTACACGTCACAGTGCTTGACGCCAATGACAACGCCCCATCTTTCGACAAAACACTCTATACGGTAAAATTACCAGAAAATGTTTCTAACGGAACATTGGTAACTAAACTTAACGCTTCTGATTTAGACGATGGCTCGAATGGGGACATTACTTATTCATTCTCAACAGATATTTCACCGAATGTGAAATCCAAGTTCCACATAGATCCAATTACTGGAGAAATTACGGTAAAGGGACATATAGATTTTGAAGAAAGAAAAGTCTATGAAATTCTTGTAGAGGGCATTGATAAGGGACAGTTTCCACTCTCTGGCCATTGTACAGTGATGGTGGAAGTTGAAGACACAAATGATAATGCTCCAGATTTAGAATTCAAATCTCTGTCACTTCCAATCAGAGAGGACGCTCCACTGGGAACTGTAATCGCCCTGATTAGCGTGTCTGACCACGACTCCAGTGCTAATGGGCAGGTGACCTGTTCCCTGTCACCTCATCTCCCATTCAAGCTAGTGTCCACCTTCAAGAATTACTATTCGTTGGTGCTGGACAGCGCTCTAGACCGCGAAAGCATGTCAGAATATGCACTAGTGGTGACAGTTCGGGACTGGGGGTCACCTTCCCTGTCGTCCACAGCCAGCCTGTCCGTAGAGGTGGCCGACGTGAACGACAACGCGCCCGCGTTCGCGCAGCCCGAGTACACAGTGTTCGTGAAGGAGAACAACCCGCCCGGCAGCCACATCTTCACGGTGTCTGCGCACGACGCAGACGCGCAGGAGAACGCGCTGGTGTCCTACTCGCTGGTGGAGCGGCGGGTGGGCGAGCGCGCGCTGTCGAGCTACGTGTCGGTGCACGCCGAGAG